AAAGTCAATATTGACTTATTAAATAAGTGCATAGGTGATATACTAAACATAATAGATACCCTTAAAAAGCTTCATAGAAAACACCGACCTTACCTAACCTTGTTAGTATCTTAAGATAAACATCTTATAGCTTCGTAATTACATTTGTTACTTAACCTATTATAGGTATAGGTTAAGTAATTATTGTAATTACGAAGCAATAAGATGCTTATCTTAAGATACTAACAAGGTTAGGTAAGGTCGGTGTTTTCTATGATGCTTTTTAAGGGTATCTATTATGCTTAGTATATCACCTATGCACGTAGTTAATAAGTCAATATTGACTTTACGAATTTGCGAGAACGGGTTCTATCTGTACCCTGTACTCTAAAGAGGATAAGGACAAGAGTTGTTCTTCTGGAATCTAGTTAATTAACTGCAGAGTTACCATTCCTTGTGCTCTGTAAAGGAATAGTAAACCCCCTACCTCAGCAGTTAATCACGAACTTTGAAGGAAAGAGTGCAAAGAGTGTCACCACTGTGACGAGAATGCCTATACAAGTCCTGAACGTACAACACAGTTCTGGATGCGAATACGAAAGGATCTTCAGACCAATACTTCCTCTTAAGTTCGTAATGCAAAGTGGAACATGATAGTTCGAAGATAAATCTAAGTACCCGAGGGGGTGATCTTTCTGAGAGGGTCACCTGTTTAATTAATTGAGTCACCATTAATTTTGTTGGGACAAAATTAATGTGGGTAATTAGAATATAGCAATAGTTTAGAAGACTAACCATTACGAGCAGGAATTTACACATAAAACGTCACATAATCAAACAGATCACAAGTTGCTACACCTGTAAAGTAGATATGTTCGGTCACCAGTATGAAAACCTCAAAATGAATTCTGAGAAAAATGCAAACAAGTATAAAAGCCAAGTATAACAACTAAACACAACATTAAGCAAAGGTTGCTAGGGACAGTTCCTGAGACCAGCTCCTAGGACAGACCCCCATTCTATGTGATGTGATGCAGCATAGCAGCGTACTGGGCTGGTGTAGTGTGGCTCTCACTCACATAAAACAAAATAAAAAAATGCTGCTTTGGCCCTTGCAGTGTGTAAGTGGCAGGATGAAACAAGAAGCAGATGAACAAATAATAAACTTTATTATAATAATAATTAACATAACAGAAAATGGTTCTTGCAAACACTTGGCTGATATACCAGAACAAACAAAAACAAGAAAATAAAATAATTAACATAAATGCAATACAATACTATACTGGTGAGCTGAAGACATCCACCATACCACCACAGCATCTGACACACGATGTAGACTGGTAGCAGACGGTAGGTGAAGGAAGCATTGATGACCCCAAGAGCACCAGAAAGACTGACTTCTGTGGAATCGAATCGAATTATACAGGAGAAGATGCCCATGGGACGAGCGTTGAAGTGGGGACAGCTGAAGGGAAGTCGGTGAGAGGAAACACTGAGGTTGAAGAGAAAGTGCCAGGGCTTGACCCAGCTGTGTGTCTTTAGTCGATGCTGAAAACATGCCAACATCTGGCTTGGCTGGGAGACGGGTCAGAAGGCGGCAGTAGCAGTGCTTCTTCATTCAAGGCAGAGACAATCTGTCTTCAGGAGGTGTCTTCATTCTTCTTCTTCTTGCTTCTATCTTCTATGTGGTGCTTCTTCTTTCTTCTTTCTTATATTTCTGCTTCTGTGGGTGCAGGAGGCCCTTTTTATACCACTGCTGGTGATGACATTATGTCCTGTGTCAATGTGATCAGTAACAAGCAGCTGGCGGTAACTGCTTGTTAACATATCCACAACTACTCAGTAGAAGCTGTTGCCTATGCTCACACTTCTCTTCTGAGTAAGCATAATATATAGACTACCCGTTAGGTTACACCTTCTGCTTAAGCTATTGCCTGTGGACATGTGAAAACTTCAAGATAAAAGGAACGGAATTATATATATAAAAAGTATTCAAGAGTGGCAAACTGTTGCAATGAGTGTCCCAGAGCACCTCTGTTGTATAAAAATATATAAGATTCAGTCAAGATGGAGCAGTTAAATTTGCAGATTATAAAAAAATAGGGACGGAAATAATTTAAAACAGCATGAATACTGTCAAGAATTGCTCTTTGAAACGGACGAAAAATTGCTGTTCAAACTTATCCAAATCGTTTATAATTAAAGGTCAAAGGACAGCCCTGGGGAGCAATCTTGCAACTGCATTTGTTAACCATGCCCCTCATTCCACTTGAGGGTGGGGGGATATCATGAGCCCCTACCCTTTAGTAAGGCACAGTATCAAAAACTTTGATAAGGTAAAGGCACACGTCTCAATCTTTTCCACTATAAACTGCCTCAAATTTATAAATTTTAATTATATTCTAAAACATTAGTGGCCTTTGTGATAGTTTCGTAAATCGTTTATTAAACTCTCTTTAAAGATGTAGATGAATGACTTTCGTGATTACCGATTTAAGTCAATTCCCATAACAGCCATAAAGATAATTTGATAAAAAGATATCTTTATTATTTTTAAGATCATTTTACTTTATGATTATTATTTTTCTTATTATTTTTTATTTTACATTTATACTGTCAGTCTTTATTGATTTTTTGTTTTTTTCTTTTTACCTAACTTCTGTATTCTTCCTGGCTATCTATTGGATCTTTATTTTACTTCTAATTTGTTACTATTATATGTGTATTTGCTTCTATTCTTGTGTTTTGCTATAATTACTTTGTTTTTACAGCAGATTTAGTATTTAACTGTTTCTGTAATTGCTTGTCTTATTATATCGTGACCACTTTGCATCTCTATGCACACTGATATTGATCCTGATCAAAATCTTCTGTCTCATATCTACACCAACCAGCACATTGATCATCATTATTGCAAGTATTTCACAGCACACTAGGCAGAAAACAAACTCCAAAATAGCACCTGCTTATCAGTTTACAACCAAAATGTTAGATCACTTGGTAAACATTTTGTCGATATAAATGCATTACTCACAGCACTAGGTACTAATTCATCGTTCATTATTTTAACAGAAACCTGGCTAAGTAAAGACTATACCCAACTCTACTACTTAGCTGGTTATAAAGCCATTCACAACTGTAGGCTTAATAAAAAAAGGTGGTGGCACAGCTATATATTACCGAGATACATTTATCTGCAACATTGTCATTAGTGATAGAGATGACTACTGTGAATATACTTTTGCTCAGTTTACAATTAAATCTCTTAAATCCTCCTTGACTATTGGAGCCATCTATAGATTTCCCAATACTAACATAGCTTCATTCTCAGATAACCTAAGGAATCTTATTATAAACAACAATCTCAGCAAAAACCACATCATTCTGGGAGGAGACTTTAATATTGACCTGGGCCAACAAAATTACTCTCAAGTTGACTATTTCCTTAACAGCATGAACTCCTGTATGCTAATCCCCACAATCACCAAACCTACCCGAGTCACTCAAACATCTGCCACTACCTTGGACCACTTATGGACTAACATAACAGCTCCCTTGTATCTGGTATAATCTACGACAGAACAACTGACCACTATCCTACCTTTCTCATAGCGACATAGCGAACGCGGACTTAACACCACCAGAAAGCAAGAAACTTACATTCAGGTTACACAGTGAATCAGCAGTAGGCAACCTTACAACTGAACTTCACAATATTAACTGGGAATCTGAATTCAATAATACTCAAGATATAAGTTCATTAGCTAACATCTTCCTCTCCAAAACTCTAAGCCTCTACAACCTTCATTGTCCCCTCCTTACCAAGCAAGTAACTGACAAAAGAATAAACAATCCATGGCTCACAAGTGGCATTCTCAAGTCAATCAACAAGAAACATGAATATGAAAAGAAACTAAGGATTGACCTAGTTACAAAGGAATTAATTAAAAGGTACTCATCAATGCTTACCAGTATCATAAGAAAGGCAAAACTTTCATATTATGAGAATAGATGTTTCTATTCCTGCCCGAAGGCAGGCATTGACCTGCCCGAAACGCTGCGCGTACTAGTGGCTTTACAAGAATGTAATTACTATGCTATATATCCTCACAATCCCATGTACCTTCTTGTATATATAAAAATAAATAAATAAGTAAATAAATTGGCCAATAGTTTGTCGCAAGGGATCTACTTCCCATATTAAAGATTTTCACAACATTATAAACTACGATCACAGTACTTTGCAAGACACTTATGATTTTATTAAATATGAAAATTAAAGGCTTGCTTATTAAGCATGTCTTGACAGTTTTTTTAGGACCCTTACAATGAATTCATTTCGTCCTCGGGGACTTGTTAGGCTTGAATTTTTTCTGTTTAATAACATCTTCCCTGATAACTATTCAATTTTTCCATTTCCCTTCACTACCTACAGAGATTTGTTTGGGTGTAGTTAAAATACAATGTTTTTACCTATTAAAAATAAATTGCTTATTTAGAAGCCACTCTTTCTTAGCCACTATAAGTTACTTAAAAATTTTTAAAGGACCTGTCTTCTTTCTATAGTTTGTTTAGTATATCTGGAAAAACCCTTTGGGGTTTGTTTTGCCTGCACGTGGTATGCACTTTATTTTTTACTTTTCATATAATAAACTGTTCTTTACAGTAACTTTTAACAGATACGTTTCTCATTTTTAATACGCTTCTATAGAGCATTCTTATTTCCGATAAAGGTTGCGTATCACACATCACACACTTGTAGATATTTAATGGGGTGAAAACTGCACTTTACGCATATATCTCATCGTATAATGTCCCAATTTTCAAAATTCTAAAAAAAAATTGCTTTTCAACTGTCCCTTTGCATCAAATATGTTTATAGTATTCTAAATCACACTTTTTATATAACACTTTTTACATAACACTAGATTTAAAAAAATCTGCTCCCATATTGGCGTTCATTAATATTTGGGGGACGTTCATAGCAACATATAATAACATATACTTTTACTTTCTAGAGACCATTGCCAACCACACAGCTGAACTGAGCACGGAAGTGGAGGTGGAAGTAGGGGCGGCCGTGGAGGTGATGTGTCAGCGGTTCACGAAGGTAGTGCGGTCCTCCACCACCGTCCACCTGCTCCTCGACACTACCATGCCTCAGCAGGAGCAGAAGCAGCAGCTCCATACACCACTACAACAGGGGCAGCAGCAGGTCCAAACACACCACAAGGATCAAGAACTATCGTGAAAACTTGCTAGTTGACATCTGAAGCAGAATTGCAGGATGTGAAAGCTGAAAGGAAGTTTAAAATGTAGTTTAACAGACTTATAGAATGTCCCTTTAAGAGGAATTTGAGTTGTAAATCAAATTTTATGGAAGTTGTCAGACTTCAGTACTAAACCATCTTCAAATACATAAATCACTCATATTGAAGAGTAGTTATAAACTCTAACAATGTACGAATCGGGTCTCTGCACATGCCAATCACTACCCCACTCGGCAGTCGGGGCAGCTGACCAGACCAAGATGGAGCAGTTGAGGCCTTCCAGCAGTTGGAGATGCTGGCCTCTATCTACCCCATCTTGTCTTCTTGCCTTGGTCACTCCTCCTTCGCTTCCCCACTCGACTCCAGAGCCACAGGAAAGTAATTTTTACTCCAAGGAGGTGAGTCGACCATGAAACAATATTTACATAAAACATAAACATGAATCAAACTGCAGAAGGCCAATACGAGGAAATTCCTCCTCAGTTATGAGTGTTTGGGTAGATATATTTAACCTTTGTTAAATATTCTAGATATATTCTATATATCTAGATATTCTATATATCTATATATTCTATATATCTAGAATATTCTAGATATATTCTAGATATAATATTCTAGATATATTCTAGATATAATATTCTAGATATATTTAACCTTTGTTAAATATATCACTGGATTTCAACCTCTATGCTGCTAGCCCTCAAATACGTTCCCCCCTCCCTCCCCCTTTGTGTGCAAAAATTCTCGGTATTTTCTGTTTTTTTTATTTTAATGTTTTAAAAACCCTTCTCTGATTACAGAAATGTAAAAACAAACTCAAAATTGTACTTACTTTGGCCGCAATGGGGTCCAGAAAATGTCACATGACGTCATCAATTGCTGGTTGCCCCTGGAGTTGGCTCCCAGGCGGGCAGTCGCGCCCCAGTTCAAGATGGGCGAGTTGCCTCAAATAAATTTTTGTTCATTTTTTTCGCACAGTTCAAAATACATTTGTTTTGTTTTTCTTGTCTGTCCTATGTATAATGAACACGTACACTATATTATGACAGTAGAACATCCATTCTACTGTTACGAAGAAGACACTGTTACGTGCATCACAAATGTGTTCACATATCTTGCATATATTTCCGATGTATCATGCACATTTATGAATATTTATAATATATTTACACACTGTACAGTATCACACACTATATACACACACCATAAACACTCTCAGAGCTCTGCGAGTGTGTGATATGCTGCGAAACAGCCCCCAGGGCTCATGACGTAAACAATGTATTAACACATAATCACAATATCTCTGTAATTAACTTGAATGTAAGATCTCTAAGCAAACACATTGATGATGTTAGTGCCTTGATTGAAACTATTGACAACAAATTCTCTTTTATTATACTTACTGAAACGTGGTTAAAAGAGGATACTACTCAACTCTTTAACATGCCAAACTACTCAGCAATTCACAACTGTCGACCAATTAAGAGGTGGTGGTACTGCTCTTTACTACCACAAAGAACTAACATGCTTAAAAGTAATTAGAACTAGAAACTATTGTGGGGAGTATATCTTCGCCAGTTTCAGAGTCAAGGGTGCTGAGTCTGTCCTGACTGTGGGAGCAGTCTATAGAATTCCTAACACTGATGTGTCCGAATTCAACTTATCTTAGAAATCTAATACTAGATGTCGGAAAATCCGACACCATTTAATAATATTACATACAGGCAGATAATATTGCTGCCATTGTATACACAAGTTACCCATAGAAAATGTAATTTGTAGTGGAATTTTCCGTCTATAGAAAACGGGATATCATTGCCACATACTATTATAAATTCACCAGCTATTCTGCTGGGAATTATTCTTAAATATATTAGTCTTTGGGCTTTACCATCATAAAACATCACATATAAATTAATTTAATTATCAATATTAATATAGAGTAAATGTGACCCTTCTATCACTTACTGACATCTGGACAAATAAGCCAGTAGCGTCAGTGAGGAGGGAGTGGTCAGCCATTGTTGTTGTTTCAGACCAGAGTCGTTGGAGCTAGTAACTGCTCCTATAAATTCTCTTGGACGAAGTGTGACGAAGATCAGAGTAGTGGTCTTCCATCATCAACACGCTGTCAGCAAATACAAGGGAGGTGTCTTTCCGAAACCCGTTTATCTATTCATTTTTGGCCATTAATGTTAGGTAGATATTGGGTGAGCCGCTGAGATCACAAATGATCGACTCAAACAAGGTAATTTAGCCTTGGTCTTTATGGTTCATTGTACAGTGTTTTCTCTGATATAGCTGTCATATACTAGGATTCTGGCTTCATAGCTAACGCCCTTTTGACAGGTCAAGACGAGGAAGCATGCTTTGTGTATCAGTTACCAGGGTGATGGAAGCTACATCACACGAGGAAAATTTGGTGTCTACATCCTAGTTATACCTGGTGGACTAAGGCCTGCTGTACAAATAAGATAAGGAACCTCTTCAATGTACACTATTATGTAGTTTAATACTGTAGTTTGATTGGCTGCATATATATAAATTCAATATAAACCCACCCTAATGTGTAGTGGATCGATTTGTGAGATTATTGCAGAAATACAGTCCACTTAACATCATACAAATTGCTATCGAAATATATAAATTAACGTAAATATAAATTCTATATAAATTCATATAAATTAAATAAATATAAATGCCACAGGTCGGTTCCCACATTATTTGGTCCTTCGAAACTGGATTAATTGGACCTTAGGAACCGGATTAATTGGTCCTTTGAACCCACATTATTGGTCATCTTCGAGTCTGATGACAGATTATTTGGTCATCTTAGTACCGGATGAACCAGTTAACCAGTGGATTCATTAAACATACTAGTGCAGTGTGATTTATACAAAGCCAGTCAATGACTGGCGGCGTAGCCTCCCTCGACCAGCTCAGGAACCCCACAGCTCAGTCCAGCTTCATCAGCGGTTTCATGCACACCCACAGATTTGGTGGCGTGTTATTTTGTGAAATGACAGCGCTTATATTGAAGCCAGCCAAATTAGTGGCTGTGTCCTCTCGAGATTGTTCACGGATTTCGTGGTGTTAAATTTCGCGAGAGATTATCCACGAATTTTGTGGAGTTTATTTCGCGAGGTCACTAATAATATTTAATACCTCTTGATAATATTAGAAGTTTCATAGGGCTAATTAAGAGGCTATTATCAATAATTGTGTATATTATTTCTCCAAAATAGAGAATTATTTAATATATATTGCACTAGTGTTCTCAATATAATATTTACCAATTGCCAACCCACAACAGGGTAGGATATTACCATTGACTAGTTGAACTATTTAGTGTTTGTCATAGTCCCATTATTACCATAGTCTAGTTGTACTATATTGAACAACTTAGCACCATTAATGAATGGTGCAGACCCTATTTTGGGTATAATTGTTACCAACTCGAGTTGAGTTGTGTATATATAATAATTTACTTATGATCATTACACCTTTGAGTGATTAATTAGTGTCTATACCATCCTAGGGTGATATAGAAGAGCTAACCGAAAGGTACTTCCAGTGACACTGGTTTATCACTCAAATCATTAGTGTGTATGATTGTATATATATAATGTGTATTAATTTTAAGTGCTAACCTCTAGTAGAGGTAGGATTACAGCTTAGTGAGCGCAGACATTTTACCCTAGGCTACCATCAGTACTTGTTCAGTATTATGAGCAGCCCCAGTACAAGCCCCACAAGGCTTTACCAAGTAGCCAATATGGATAATGCATGGAGAATGAAAAGAACCCTTGCAGGTCTTAAAGGCCACTTAAGAAGACAGATCAAGAAATGTGAAGATTTGTCACAACAATCTCAAGTTAATTATGTTGACCTGGAAAGCTATTATCAAGCAGCTGCAGATAAATTTGAGCAAATCAAATGCCAAATAGCTCTCCTTGTGGGGACAGACTATTACCATCAATTCATTGGTAGCCCTACTAAATATCAGGGCATAACCATGTTAAATTCTGCAGGAGATAAATTACTCTCAGGCCCAGTATCAAGCCTGAGGAGACCTATGGCTGCAGATAAACAATACCAGTAGAAATCTAAATTAGTCAGCTGATAATATTTCTCCAGTAGCATTATACTAAGGAGATTACAGCTGACTATAGTAACAGAGGTTGATGTTAATATCATCATTTTAAAGCTGAAGATGAGTTCATGAGGCCTCAGTGGCAAATCAGTGAACAGTAGCCTAAACAGCTACAAGTCACTGTGATCAATGTCACTGAACCCACTGCAGTCACAGAACCATTCTCTACTTTAATGATGGGCTATTCAATCCTCTGAATCAATTAACTAAATTAAACCCCAATAAATCTGATGACTGATTTTGATACATTTATTATTTAATCAAGATGAATTCCATGGGCCTCAGTGTATATATATCAGTGACCTGTTACCTGAACAAGCTTCAAGTTATATCTAATGTCACTGATCTCACTGCAGTCCCTGAATCATACTTGACTGTAGTACTTGATCACATCCAGTCTTCTGGGTTAAATAATATGTAATTAGGCTTGAATTTTAGCCTTTCAAGAGTTAACAGGGAAATGAAATCGCATTAGACTTTTAACCCCTGCAACTCTACTACGGGACATCCGTCCTGTACGAATAGACGCACAAATGTGTGATTACTAACTACTAACATCAAATTAATCTAATAATTCGAAGGAGGAGTATCGGTGATCGTCTGTTCTAAATAGGGTTTCGACCCGTGAGCAGCCCCCCGGGAATTATGTCGGAAAATCCGACACCATTTAATAATATTACATACAGGCAGATTATATTGCTGCCATTGTATACACAAGTTACCCATAGAAAATGTAATTTGTAGTGGAATTTTCCGTCTATAGAAAACGGAATATCATTGCCACATACTATTATAAATTCACCAGCTATTCTGCTGGAAATTATTCTTAAATACATTAGTCTTTGGACTTTACCGTCATAAAACATCACATATAAATTAACTTAATTATCAATATTAAAATAGAGTAAATGTGACCCTTCTATCACTTACTGACATCTGGACAAATAGGCCAGTAGCGTCAGTGAGGAGAAAGTGGTCAGCCATTGTTGTTGTTTAAGACCAGAGTCGTTGGAG